CTGGAACAGGGCTCTCTCATAGCTTTCAGACTCAGTGCAAGGGCTGGAGGAGGACCATCATCACAACAAAGAGCAGGAATTAATAATCCAAGTCCCTAGACTTGAGGTCCTAGACTTCAAGTCCCACCTGCCCAAGTTCGCAAGAGAAAAGGAAAGAGAAGACACACTAAAAACTTCTTTCAACTCTAAAGTCTCACAAGTGTAATCCAGCTCCATGCTTTCCAGGGTGGCAGATCCACCTAACTCTGTCTACCACAGCTGCCCATCCAGCCTCATCAAACCTCCAAAACACAAAGTCAGTTCTGTCCAGGGAACCTGCAGAATGCTTAGCCTGTGGAAAAGACTCTATCTGAGCACAGCATAAAACTGAATGTACTTTCAGGTAGTCAAATACAAGGAGGAAGAACAAACTGCTTCTAAGCTTTATGCTTTCCATAGTAACAGCTTAATTTCTGAGCTTACCTGTAGCTGCCGTACAGCTTGGAGTTTGCTGCAGATTCATAGCCGTCCTCACATTTCCACCACAGAAGTAACAGGTAGGAATGTTGTTCTCTTCTTTCTGGGAGCAAACAAAAGACAGATGTGATTTATAGGTATTTATTGAAAAAAAACATTTCAGTCATTTAATTAAAGACCAGTGGAATGGAGCAGGAGAAGGGAAAACAAAGCCAGTTTTAAATTGGCTTAACAATCTCCAAGCCCTTTTATCCACACCTCTGCATACACAAGAACATTGTATGGATGCCATGCTGACAGTAAGGGGTGGCCAAACCAATAGGGGGTCTACATGGGCAAATTCTCAAGGAACTCAGCTGCTTGTCCCAAATGTTTTGTTGCACTGCTAGAACAGCTAATGCTCAAGACTACACTGACATGGAAAACACCTGATCTAATTTGGATTTAGCCTCGGTAGTAGATCTTTAACACCAGCACAGCAGGACACAATGAAACTTCTGCAATTAAGTGAGCAACAAAGCATATTCCTGCTTTTCTTTTTCTTAGTAGTTTCTTTATGATGGCATAAGAAGCCCTGAAATGGATGCTTTTAGCACTTATCCTAAATGGTTTGTTTTAAGCTTAGGATTTTCACATGCTAAAAACAAAGACTCTTGTCCACCAAGGATCCTACAGACCGCTGAAGAGCTAGAGATACCAGATTTTTGCAAGGCCCAGCACTGTGCTCTGAGGCTGGAGCTTGCTGCTTGATAGTCTCTCCTGAGACTACCATGGTGTTTCCAAGGCAGAAGTAGCACCTATTTTTCTTCCGTGCAAGTTTGGGAGTCCTTTTCCCACCCTTCTGCAAGTGAACTTGCATTCAAAACCACACTTTATGCTATTTTATTGCTACTCAACCCAACAGCTCTTCAGCGAGGTCCCTGCAGATGGAAGCGTTGGTGAGGGCGGCTAGGAGGGCCTGGCACCTCCTCACCACCTCCACAGGGCAAACAGGGAGGGAGGACAGCCAAAAGCACATTAAGAGAATTGAATCGAGATCCTGTCGAGACTTTAAAGTGAACATTTCTAGAAAGGAGGGTAGGGGAGAGTCACAAATCTACACACATTGCCTGGCTTCCAGCTGTTCCCGTGCAGCCATGCTCACAAGTCAAAGGCTGCCTGGCCGCCGACCCACCACACTCTGAGCTGACGGCAGCCCCAGCCCAGCCGCCATCTCCTCAGCCCCTCAGGGCAGGAGCGCCACCCCCAAAGCGCCGCCTGCTGGGGGGAGCCAGCCAATCACATCACAGAGTGGAGACGCGGTGCCCTATGGCTGTGGGGCAGGAGGCCCAGAGCCCGCCCACCGTGGGGCTGCCCTTTCCTGGGACACTGGAACCAAGCATCTGCAAAGCTGGAAAATTCCCTCCAAAATCGAAATTAACTTCTCTGCAAGTGCCTGAGGGAATCAAACAGTCCGTGCAATTACTGGAACAGGGGCACTCTGCCCAAATACGCAGGAGAGCCTTGCTAGGAGCATCTCAGCTCCAACTGAACGCCAACAGGGGGAGTAGAAAATGTATAAAAAATGGGAGCTGCAAAAGCATGAAGGTCTGGGCTCCACCGCATGGTCCCTGGTGGGCCCCTCCCAGCTGTGGGAGCCGTGGGGAGACCTCAGGAAGAAAATAAGCTCCATTTAAGATAAACAGCTGCACTCAAGCTCTGGTGCTGTTGCTGGCAGAGCCCGTGTGGCGTTGCAGAAAACAGTGTCAAGAAAGGGGAATTGAAAGCCTTGGAGGGGCTCTGGAAAGCCGCCTTCTCTGCAGGCTGGCAGCCAGCCAGCTGCCGGCTCACCCTTGCACAACCGCTCCCTGCGGCCAAAACACCCAGAAAGGGCAACAGGCAGCGGGCAGGGGTTGTCTGTGTGGGCACAGAGGTATGACCCGGTTGTGGAGGGACCCAGGACACCTCCCCTTCTCCACAAGTCCCTGGGACACCTTGGTCCGTGACTACATCCGATCCTCCCTGCCAGCACTGAGTCGCCACTCAGAGCATCCTCCCCGCAGGCTGATGGAGCTCAGGGCAAAGGCAAGTCTTTTTTATTGACATTTCCATCCCTAAATACATGTTCACCATGGAGACCTCTCTCATTCATCTCTGGTCCCAGGAGAAACAACTTTGTAGGGCTCCAACTCCTGCCCGTTAGCTCAAGCCAAAAGGAATAACTATAAACTAAGAATAAATACTAATTAACCTGAATCTTTCTTCATATCGTGATTTGAACCAGACGCTGTATCTATCTTTAACTTTAGGCTGCTTTGAGATGCACCCTCTATCCGCAGCAGGCAAAAATAAGATTCCTTCTTTTGATAAAGTTAATTGTGGGCCTCAACAAGACACATTTCTTGGCAATACTGTGCTCTTATCTTTAAATGCTGTGAACTCACAAGGGTTTGGAAGGCCATATATTTAGAGTGCCACCAGTACAAAAAGTTTTGTGATTGAGGAGAATTTAATCCAGCAACTTTCCCACATCCTGCTGGAAAAAGAGGTATGGTGAAGGCAGATTACTTCTCGCAGCGAGGACAGCTTTTGCAGTGCACTCAAGTGTTGAGTAGAGGCTGTCCCATAGAGTCCAGCCAAAGGCTGCACGGGAGCATGGCTGAGATTTAGTCCCCCAGTGCAGGGGAGAGTGTAGTGGAAGACGTACGCTATCTCCTGCTGGGCTGGTTGAAAACAATAGTGCTTTATACGGGTTTTAGCATCAGAGAGAGAATAATACAACTGTGTTAAAAATTAAGATTTATTTTCCCGAGTATATCAGCATTTTCAAAGCTGCTTTGTTTTGATTTTCTCCTTTGTTGGAAGTAACTCCAATATTTTCTAAATTACACTGTTGAAAGCTCATGTAACAAAACTGTGTTTTTCATTATGACTCTTGGTAATTATGCAGGCAACATACATATAGAGAGGAAACTATACAAACCAGATTTACTGTAAAAGCCAAGCCCTTTCATAAATGCAGCTGTGTTCTCTTGTAGAGAAATAGGTTATTTGGGGGGAAATATTTTTGGACTTCAAAAAACAGTGACGGGGATACCAAGAAACTCTTGGCAAGAGCTGGGCAAAGCTAAACTCTGCCCACTTCCACCTCTCAAGCACCTTCTGTGCAATGTAGTCTCACATCAGCTAGGTTGGTAGACGGTATTAGTGATAAAATCTTCCCATTGCTTCGGTAAGTTTTAACAAGCCTGCAGACGAAGTCATATAATTATGCCTCTACCATTTTAAAGTTGCATAAACACTGTTTAAGTGGTTTAATAGTGTGATTTGTTTGTACAGCACAAACATCATTTGTATATAGTATATTTGTATATAGTGAATCCAAAGACGTGTCCAGCAGCGCCAGCTACCCAGGTGATGGCACACCTTTCCATCCGGAGACCTTCTGCTGCAGAATGCCAAGGGCCTCTCAGTCTGCAGGACACGTACCTCGCTTGTGAGGCCAGGATGTTACTCACCCCCTTGGTACCTGGGCACGTGAGGAACTGTTTATGTGTCAGCACACCTGGTTAGCAAGTGGGTCCTATGAAATAGAGACTATTATTGGTTGCCCTGTGTACCTGACTGCAAGTGCCACATCCACCAGCACCTACTGCTGCCCCTCGAGAAGGGCAGCAAGGCAAGGAACCTGGGCGGTGCGTGTCCCCAGAGATCATCTCCTCAGCTGCCAAGGGAAAGGTGGAGAATGCTCTTCCCACACTGCTAGAAAGCCTCAGAGGGCTAATCCCTAATAATTTCAGTTTATTGGCTCTTGCCTGCAAATAAGAGGAAACGGTGTAGAGCTGTGAAGAGCTAGGCTGATGATAATAGTTACCTCTGCTCTCCTAGAAAAAAATCCCACAGATCTATGTTGAAGGAAGGAATGACAGCTCCCAGGAGCTCCATCCCATAGGACAGCTGGAATAGATACTCACTAGCCAAAAACATTGAGGATGAAGTACCGTTCCACCTTCTTGGTGAGCCAACCACCATCTACCTCCTCTCTGTGTCCTGCAAAGTGACTGTGTTTCCTAAGGTCATAAGACACTAAGCATGAAGAGAGAACCATACGGGACAATCAGAAGTTACTTAATTCTTACCAAAACTGATGGGAATTATATAACCAATTTTTTTTTTTTTGAGAACCCTGCTAAATTTAATGCCTGAATTGATCTAAAGTATTTCTATTTAGGGTATTGGTTGGCTGTAAATCTCCAAAGGTACCTAGTCAGTGGGAAACACTGGCTAGAGTTTAAGCTACCTGAACAAAGTCCCAGGTGCTCGTATGTATTTTAGACATATAAAACAACCTTTAAAAGACAGGTCAAGAGTCCCTTCCTTGAACTGGATGCTCATGTTCTTAGATGAGTCCCATAACCAAAATTGCCATCATAACAAATGTACAGGCTTTGCTCGGGTGTGGGTGGTTTTGATGCCTGCACTGGTTATAAGCAGCAATGTCCTGAAGAACATGAAATTTAGGAAGATGAGTAATGTATGAAGTGTGGAGGCAGTGAGAGATGATCCACATATTATGTGCTTTTATTTAATAATTTATAAATAAATATCAGCTTTCCCCAAACTGCCCCTCAGCCTAGCAATTATATGTTGGCTGATTTCTTGTTAATGCTGTTCTTTTATAATAACAAACTGTTCCCAAAGCCTCACATACAGAGAGTTAGACAATCAAAGTACTGTGTGCGATTTTCCACTTAATTCATTCAGTTAGCTGCAATTAAAACAATACAATTCAAAGCCTTGTGTGTTTCTCTGAAAAAATACAAAACTTTAGTTGTTACTATTAATATATACAACCTACAAGAAAGAGTTAACAAAGCCCCTTTGTCTTCCCTGTTGTAGTAGAGTAATTTTCTTATCCTTTTCTGTAGATGCCCTGGCAGTCTTCAATATTTCTTTCAGTCACTGGTCTTCAAAGGACATGCTTTTCATTCAGCTGCACAGAAAGAAAAGGAATTCAGTGGGCCAGATTCCCTCGGCGGTCAGATCCATTCACCGCAGCAGTCCAGGGAGGAATCTAGGTGAAGGTGCAGGGGTCTCACCAAGAGAATCAAACCTATTTAGAGGGGAAGAGGTAACCATTTTAGCAGGCAGTAATCAAATTTCTGTTCAGATTTTACCTAGATATCTTACCTACATATTTCATATTTCTGGAAAAGCAGTGTCTTCGTGGCTACTGATCTCTGCTCACCCACTTAATGTAAATAATATACCAAGTTTTACTGTCACTATAGAGCTATTTCTTTTTTTGTTTTATGGGGCTCCACTGATGAAACCTAATGGCAATCTAATTAATATTATACCAGTCTCACAGGTGCAGAAGAGAACAGAGGCTGTATCATGCCCCACGAGCCATCCTAATAGAGAAGCTGTGACTGTTTGCCATACCACCAAGCTCCCCAATACTGGGCAGATTTCCATCAGCCAAGAGCACACTCAAAGCATGCACTGCTCTGAGAGCAGCAACATCCCTGCAGTCCGAGGTTGCACTGTGTTTGTCCAAGTCTCACAATGTTTCCAGAGCATCTCTGAGCAAGGTACATCTCAACACTGTCCCAAGTAGAAGACTATACTCCTGACATGCTACTGTTCAGTATGTTAGTTCACTATTTCAGCTCTGTTGACAGAGGCTTTGATTCAGCCTACTCCTGCAACAGAATACCAAACCACTGATTTGGATCTGTAGTCTTAATTATTATCCCACCAACATAAATGAGCATTTCATTTAAGCTTAGTTCCTCAAGAAAGAACTATTGTGCCTACTTGGATAAGATAGTGTGAAATTTATCCAAACATTTATCAAACTAGGTGAAATCTTATTGGAAGAATATGTTCTGAGATTTTGTGAATAAAGTCCCCCAGGAAAAAGTAACACCAAAATGTGTGTCAGAGCAGACACTCACAAAGTCTGGTCCAAAAGGAATTCACAGCCCATCCAGTGCTCACCTTTATTCTTTTATTCTAGTACACAACAGCACAAAAAGGGGATAGCAAAGTAAAGAACTAAAATCGTCATTTCTTTTCCATAAGGGCAGAACTCTCTGCCAAACCCAGCTCCAGTTACAGAAACACTTTCCAGTATTTTTCTTCCTTCCAGTTATTGCAGTTCTACAGAGATGTTACACAGTGATGAATGACAAGGAAGGCAATTCACTAAACAAGGTACTTATTCCAAAGTTATTCTTATTAAAAGAAATGCTAATATCATACTCCTGGCATATGACTTTATGTGTGAAGAATCATGCAATTTGCATATAATCTGGGTGAAAGAAATCTAGTTGAAAGACCACATCTCCAACTACTGATGAATGTTTCCAGCAAGTCTAACAAAAAAAAAAAAAAAAATCAACCATCTCTGCTTGGCACATGTTTTTTCCAAATGTGTTTTCTTAGCTTAGGTCACTGCAACAGAGATAACATGAGGCAGATAGCAACTGTATGTGTTCTGTAATAAACATACTTTTCATAAGGCATTTCAGGGCAATTGGATTACTAACAAACTTTTTGTAAAGTTAAACTTACCATCAATGTATACCAAGAATCATGTTATTACAGTAAAATGTATAGAGTAAGGCACTGTCCATGAAATCAAAGAGATATTTCATATCACTTTAATATACTGACATTATCGACTGACCTATAAATACTGATAACATTTTCATTATCATCTACACTTAACCTTCTTTATGCTTTCAAGTGCCCTTATGTCCAATACCTGAAAACATGCAATTCAGTTCCACAGAATAACTCCAAAAATCACATCAAGGAAGTTCTTTATTAGTTTCTCTCAATGACTTCCAGATCAAATCTGCTCTGCTATAAACACAGTAAAGGCTTTCTGTAAGTGTCTAGTCTAAAAACACACGGTTGAAGTTAGAAGATCTTTTCAATCCAGCAACAAAGGACCAGGCAACTGGAACACAGCTAATAACTCTGCTGATGACACACATACCGGAACAAAAATCCATGCTGAGATCTTTAGTATCAGAAGAATAAAACCATATTTAAGAACTAAAAGAAGATTATGGAGTGCACAATAGGTATAGGTTTGTATATAAAAGTATCTACCTTTTACCTACTCACCTTTCAGACATTTGGCTTCATTAAACTCCCAAGTATCAGTGCAAGAATGAGCATAAATGCCAGAATGCCAAGGTAAGGAAGAGGCAGACATTGTAAATCTGTTCACAGTAGTGTTCCAGATTGGTGCTAAAATAAGAGTTATGAGCTACATTCATTTCAAGTAAATATAAGAATATCTATACTCAGTTCAGGCCTTCTTTAGTCATCATCTACTTGGGAAGAAAGGAAAAAAAGTATAGCTTCTGTAGAACAGCATTCATTTTTCTCAGTGACAGAAAGTTAAAAACTCTGGCCTTACCTAGTTCAAGTCAAGGAGAGCTATGTGTGCAAGCGCCCGGGTGACATCTATCCAGGTTAACACTGCTGCACTTACCCACACTGTAAGCTCCTAGATCAAAAGCAGTTGGCTCAGGCCTCTGGTTCCACAACAAAATATTCTTCCAAATAGGGGTTGGGTGCACAAACTCATCAACTCTACTTGTAACAAAAGTTTTCTTCCTCTAAGTTTGCTAGAAGATGTGATCTATACCAGTCACACCAGAAGAGAAATAGAAACTTAGAGTGATCTTGAATAGTTTCTGTTATGAATGGATGAGTATTCTCCAGGCCCCCTGGAACACGGAAACGGAGAAGAGCAAAAGAAACCCTGGAGTCCACCAGAACCTCAGCATTTCCATCTAGCTTTCCATTCAAGTATTTCTACCCTTGGTTACTGAAACTAAACAAACCCATGGAAGCACTGAATAGCAACAAATCATCAGCAGCTAATAAAGTTAAACTAAGCTAGACAACATTGCTGTATTGAACAAAACAGATTCTTCCCTCAAACAGCAATGACAAAAGCATCCAGAAAAGCAGCAGATGTGTGGTGACACAGACCTTCAGCTGGGAAGGCAAATGGGCAGGCCTTGGCTGTTGTGTAAATTCTGTGGTTTGGTCCTGGAGGTTGTGGCTTCAGCCCCAGGTCCCGATTCCTTACCACAAACCACCAGAGACCTCTCTGAGTAAATGCAAGGCCAGCTCCTTCTCAGCGAGGCTCTATCAAATTTAAATATCATCCATGCAAAAGGCCTCCATCTTAAGCACCCTGCCATAGGCATGGTTATTCAGCACAGCAATACGTAGGCACGAATCGGTTGGAGTATGACATAGCAGAGACCAGTTCAGCTTGACAACCAGAGAAAATCCCATGACCACCACCCATCCCCGCAAGCTGCCTGTCTTGCTGGACAGCCCCTTGGGAACACAGCCCAGCTGCCTTCTCTGAATCAGACACAGAGGACTGCAGATTACTTAATAGTGCCCGTGGCTCAGGAGCATCCTGGGGGCCTTAATCATGGTCCTCAGCCCTGCTCCGCTAGGCACTTTCCACGCACAAGGCAAAAGGCAGCCTCTGCACATCAGGGCTACCCTAAGGAAGGCCCGTCCAAGTGCAGCAGTACCTGCAGAGCAGCAGCTTCTGAACCATTCCACATTCTGGGATGCTATTCCCAACATCCGAATGTAGCTAACGGCCTCTCCGTCTGAACACTGGGAATGAGGCAAACCTGCATGAGCACCAGCGGTCAGAGCCATCCCACCTGTTGACACGAGAGCTAGACAGATGAAAGCCACACGTGGGGCTGCCCCTGCTTTGCATTTCGGTGCAGATGTACACAGAGAAAGGAGTGAGGGCAGAGCTGAGACAGTGGGAAGCTTGGAGAGGAGGGTGTCTGTTACTTGAAATCAATCTAAAGCACATTACAAATCTGTTAAATCATTGTGGCTTACCCTGTATTTCAGAGTAAATTAGTAACTTTTCAGAGGGAGTGAAGAAACTACCACTCCACTTTTAAATAATGAAAATGCTAAAAAACCTACACTTAACAGCTCTAAAACTGCGGCAAGTCACCCACCAACGCCCACTCCTCTTGTCAGCAGGCTTTTTTCAGCTTTGCCTATTATTTGTGTCAAGCCAGAGATGTTTAATGTTTGCTGCGCTTATCTGCTCAACTTTAAGGAGCTCCAAATGTTACAATATGTACCTGTGCCACTGACCTCTTTCCCCACAGCATTTTGATCTAAATAAGTAACAAACACAGAGTTTCCAAAATCATTTGGATTCACTGGCTCTGAGTGCATAGCTGTAAAAAATCTGCTTTAAGATTAACATCCAATTTTATTCATGCCTGAGGCTTCACCACAGCATCTATTTTTGTAAGATTAACAGCAAGATCCCAGTTCTCCAGAAATGTAAAGAGTAACAGCCAATTGTAAAAGGAAGATGATGTTTCCTAACCTGCCCTGCTCACATCCAGGAAGGTACATTTTCCTAGCCCTTTCCATGGTGGGTGTAATTTCTATTTGCATTTTTGCACCCACAACATGCAGCATGTGTATCAGTCCTTCTGCCTCCCATTAGCTGAAATGCATTTCTGATGAAACTGTGGGTGCCAAAAAATACTAACACAAATCTCACATGTGCAAAGTGTCCCCTGAAAGACAGCTTTTACTCTGGAGGAGTTAAGAAACAGCCATCTTCCTGTACCTTGCACAACAGCACTTTGAATCATCTAACTTGAAAATACAAATATAGAAAATGAGCACTTGATATTTCAGCTAATCCATTTGAAATGAATATACATGAAAATACTTTTTTTTTGAACATGGCAATTGGAGGACAAATTGAGAGCCATTTTTAACCGAAACAACAGAAGAAAAGTTGTTTTAAACGGTGCCTTTGGTATTTGTCAATTAGAGCTATTGCATTGCTGTCAACTTGCACTCCTTCTTTACTTCCAGCTTTGCTTCATCCTACACAGATCCGTACAAATCAATTGTCTCTTGCAAACATGCACTAACCACTGGAAAGTGAAATTAATAAAGTGCAAGAAAAGCTGATTCATAAAGCTGACACTCCTGTGCCCAACAACTCTGGGTTTCTCCCCTCCAGCTAGCTGTTTGAGATAGGCAGGCAAAGTGGTAAAAGATTAT